TTTCAATTTAGTCACTAAAAGCAATTTTTGATTCTTTTAATTATGTCATTCAATTTTATTTTATTACATTTTAGTCATTATCAATTTATATATATATTTAGGGTAAATAACTGATTTAGTACCTTATAATTTTATTAACATTTATTTTAACCCGATTAATTAAATAAGGCTAAATTACATTTTTAGCACTTAGAATTTTTATTTATTCGAGATAGAGCCTTTAAACTTTGATAAATTTTATTTTAATCACTGATTAATTAATTAAGGGTTAATTACACTATTAGTAATTTTATTTTATGATGATTCGAATTATGTTCATTAATTTAAATAATTTTACATTTATTATTATTTTATTTATTTTAGTCATTGTTTAGTTATATTTTAACTTAATTTAATTTTTATTATTTTTTAATATATTTTAAATCATTACTTTAATTATTGTTTTACTATATTATAAATATATATATATTATTTATTTATTTAATAATGTTTATTTATTTTCAATATCAAAGAAAAAGGCAGTCTTAATACAACTGGATGTCCTATTCTGGTATTTTAAATAACTAAATATTATAAAAATTATAATTTAGTTTTATTACATTTTTAATATTTATTTTTATTTATTAATATCAAAGAAAAGAGCTGTCTTAAGTCACCTAGAAGCCATTTTCTCATATTTTTAAATAAATAAATATCTTATTTAATTTTTATTTTTTAAGAAAATATTTTTAGTTATTTATTTTATTTTTTAATATCGAAGAAAAGAGCTGTCTTAAGGTACCTAGAAGCCCTTTTCTGATATTTCTAAATAAGTAAATATCTTATTTATGTATATTAATATATTTTCTTAAAATTATTTGAAATAGTAGAATTATGAATTAAATATATCTTTGAATTTTTAAATTAATAATAATAGAGACAATTTATAATTAAAAAGTACCAATTTTGGGCGTTGTAGGGGTGCTAATCATTCCCTAACCGTAACCGACCACGAATCCCTTTTTATTATTAAAAAGAACGAATTTTTGGTTAAAACGCAGATCAGTCTATCTTTTAATTGATGTTTTCTTAAAAACTCTTTTAAAAGATATTTTTTAGGTATTCGACCTACCTGACCCAAAAGGCCGATGGCGACTCCCAAATTATTTTCAAAACCATTTATTCACATCAATTTTCCCGCCGAGAATAAATATTTCATGCCCGGACGAAAACCGGTTACGACACCAGTCGAGGTTTATAGCTCAATACTGAGCCATCTGCATTTCTTTTAATTTTGAAAAGCTACTTGCAGTTCACAGCCTTATTGCTCTCTGGTAGAGGAACAAGTGATCAAATTTCATTTTTCACCAACGCCTCACATTCGGCTTGTGCAACCTGCTTCCAGTAGAGGCTTTACATAGCTTCTTCAATACTTCTCGGTTCCCTATCAACACAAGTAACTTGAAAAATCTTTGGCTTCATAACACCATTTTAATTCCTGGTTATCATAGGATGAACCCGTTAACATCTCTTGAGTATGTACTCTCATAAAAAACGCGTGAACTAGGCTCTCTAAAAATACTTGGACCAGGCTCATCTACGTTACCACTCACATCAGCATGGCCAAGTTCATCGTGTCTATCACCATGCACACATGTAGTCAAATAACATAAATCACGTGTATCTTGTAACTCTGGATTACTTGCATGGGCTCCAGAAATACTTTTACGTTTTTGACTATTAGGCACAAGTTCATGAGTATTTTGTATCCTTTGGTCACTTGTACGAGCTCCTAGACCACTCTCGTGTACTCCATGACTATTGCTGACATGTTCTCTGTTGACGAAAACGGGTAAAGAAAACGAAAGAACACGAGAATTTTACGAGGTTCGGCAATGTGTTTACGTCCTCGGTGCCTAGGCGGCGCTAGAATTTTATTCAATGATATTTTAGGTCTAGGTTACATCTCTATTTATAATAGAAAACCCTGGTACATAATTACAAAATCAACTCTGTACCGTACCGCGGGGGCTACGCCCCCGCACCCTCAACCCACATAATTTGTAACCCCACAACAAGACTTTCTTTGTAAGGACAGTTGATGTTCGCTCACTCCGCTCCATCTCCTGTCCTCTTTACTGGTATATTTATGAGCCATACCTAACATTCTCCAAGACTAGTACCATTTCTAGCAGTTTGAAACTTGGATGACATAGTACTTTCTCTTCCAAGACCCAATACCACAGCACCACATCTACCTCTGGTTTCGACAGGCACGTCAGGACTAAGACAAGAATATGCAACACACATGTCAAGTTGTTGTTAAGCACCCAATGCCACAGTTGACGGAAGAGAAGTCATAATAGGTAAAACTTCTTCGAGACTTGTTGTCCACCATGACTTCTATTACAAGATTTGCAGGCTTCATACAGAAAAACCTGCTCATCAAAAATCACGTGTCTAGAGACAAACACCCTTTCATTTTCATCTAATCGTCGAAACCCTTTATGTGAGAAGCTGTAGCCAAGAAACACATATTGTCTTCATCGAAATTCAAGCCTGTTCTGGTTAAAAAGCCTCAAAAGAGAGAAACAGGCACAACAAAAAACTTTCAACATTGAGTAATTTGGAATTTGTTGATGAAGAACCTCAAAAGGTGATTTGCCACTTAACACTTCAGTCGACAAACGGTTTATCACGTAAACTGTTGATGTAAAAGCATAACTCCAGAACTTCAAAGGCAAATATGTCTGAGCATGCAAAGCAAGATACATTTCAACAATATGCCGATGCTTTCTCTTGACTTTCCCATTTTGTTTAGACGTACTCGAGCAAGAGAGTAGATGTTTGACCCCATTTGAAAGAAACCAACCTTAGCTTAACACTTTCCACTACCATCACTCTGAATCAGGATTAAGCGACTGATACCATGATGAGAGAGAGAGAGAGAGCTGCTAACAGAAACCCTAACACCTTAATCAATTCCTAACGAACTCATGCATGCAACGTGAAGAGAGAAAGAGACACGTCATACGCCACTCAAGTGAGATAGACCCCATCTAGTCAATACACCAAAAATATACCAAAAATACTTACCAATGGACGGCCTGTAGAGTGGTAGTAGATGATGAGATGAGTTTGTTGGTGTCTTGATTGGTCGAAAAAGATGTTGGAGAATAATGATTTTGGTGTCGAAAAAGATGTTGGAGAATAATGATTTTGGTGTGACAATGATGTAACTATAAAAAAATCATATTTATAGGGATTAAAAAAAAGAACAATAGGGGAAATGACGAGGATGAAATGTGGATTCCATAACAATAAAAATTAGTACACATAAAACACGTACGGCTATCAGATCACCCTTATATTTCTGATTTAACTTTCGAGAGATAAAATATGAGTAATTCAAAAGTTTATTGATTAAATTGATTTTTTTTAAAATTTAGTGACAAAAATAAGATTGGTTATGAAGTTAAGTGATGATGAAATTTAAGATGTACCCTTTTATTTGAATCTTTCACCATTTTTACCACTCAACTGCTCACTTTTCTCTTCCTTTGATAATTCGAGTAAATTTTCAAGAAAATAATAACAATAATCATGTTGTATAGTTAATTAGCCTGCTAAGTTAGAATTCAATGAACTACTTTGTCGGTGCCCCAATTAACATGGAATCATAGTGCCAAAGAGATATAATGTGCAATTATAACATTAATGCTTTATCAAGACAAGAAACTCCATAAACTAATAAAAGTAAATTCTCATTGTATTTGCAGAATTTGTGGGGGGGGGGGTAAATACAGGGTTTGTGCTTTTGAGTCAGTATAATAACATCATAAACATATCCTTTATATTTTTTACTCATTGAGTTACTGGGGCTAACTCCCACACACATACACACAGCCATCTGTTTGATTGATCGTGTTCATGTTCGTGTTAATACGAGTCTATGACACATACACACACGCTTCATTTTTACATAATGATGCTTGAAATTGATCCTTTCTATTTTTTAAGCCTGTTTACCTGAATATCATCTACAAATAATTAATGTTCAAATTAACATAATATTCATATTAATTTCAGGATTTTGCGAGACAAAAACATATCACGTCAAAAATGTTTTTGAATATAATCTTTTAAACATATATTTATTGAATGATTGAATACAAGATTTACATATGTGTTGCTGTTATTCGGGTTAACTTGTGTTTTTCACGTGTATCGTATGTATTTTTTTGTACAAGATTCGTACTTCCCCCTTTGTTTTTATCAATTTTTTCTTTGATTTTGGCCCATCATTTTAAAGTTTTGATCGGCTTCCTGTCACGTAAACAAAGACATTTCATATCAAAAGTATCATTTTAAAGTCTTTATTAAAAGGGTATTATTTTGAAAATTAATTAATAATGAGTGTTATTTAAGTAACTATATATAGAGAGAGGTAAATAAATCATATTTTTAGTCATCAACAATTAAACATGTATATTAGAGCCAAAGACATTAATAATAATCATCAATTCAGATAAAATTATTAGTAGATGTGACGATCAGTGACGGATTTAGAAATATTTTTTAGGTTAGATGCATAAATACTAATTATTGAATTTTTTTCGTATACGATAATCACAAGTAAAATTTCAAGGTGGACACCCATAGTAAAATGAACTTAAAACTCGAATTTTAAGATGGACACGAAACTACTTTGCATCCGCCCCTATAGACTACTCGAACATTTCTATATTACGTAATAATTTTACTCTCAATTTTTTTTGTATCAGAATGGTTTTATCAAAATCAATAGTGATAAATAACATTAATACTTACAGTAAAAACACTATATTTCTTTAATTAATGTGAACTACCTGACAACAAGTAATTTACCTACAAAGAAAATACAGTAAAGTCAATGAAAAAGAATTACCGCCCCATTCTTCTTATTTTTCTCATCTCTCTCTCTCTCTGTAACACTTAATTTTCAGTACTTCCCATTTACTTTTAATAAATAGCGTTTCTTTTTTCTTGTTATCTGCTCTAAAGAAAAATCCATATCTTCAAGAAAGATTCAAACTGTGTGTGTTTTCTATTCTGGCTCTCCCAACAATGATAGCTTTTAGCTTGCTTAAGTATTGGAGAGGTGGTGGAGGTGGTAGCAATGCTTGTGTGTCTGCACGTTCCGCCGCTGGTACTGCCGGTGGAGGAGGTACGACTACGATCGTGACTACTCATCAGGTGGTGGATACGGATGATGAAGAAGATGACAACGGGGCTTTCTTTGACCTGGAGTTTGCGGTTCCTGATGAGGATGAAACAGAGGAAAACGCAGACGTCGAGGAAGAAGGTGGTGATGTTGAAGATGAAGGAAGTGAAGATCAAAATGATGGCGTTGGTGGAAAATCTGACGATGGTTGCTCCGATGGTGATCGAGAGTTCAATTTCACGCTCTCTTCTGGCTCGAGCGGTGACCCTTCTGATCCGAACCCGACTCTTTCTCCTTCGGATGATCTGTTCTTTAAAGGAAGGCTAGTCCCCATTGAGACAAACTCTTCCTTGGAATCGAAATCTTCTCAAATTCCAGTATCATTGTTGAAATCAGCCACCAAGTTTCGAGTTTTCTTGTTGAGATTCAAGAAATCAAAGTTCAACTCAACTGAAAAGACCGAGTCGGGTACTGCTGATGAACTTGTTTCAGTCCCCACCACGAGCTCACCAAAAAAGCAAGAAGAACCCCAGGAAGAAGACAACAATAACAACAAGAACAAGCTTTTTACAGTTAAGGTCGAGGAGGTTCCTATAATGTCTCTGTTTTCCAGAGACAACAGCCAGTCGCAAAAACAACAGAGCTCCGACGAGACGGTTTCTGACGAAAAGAAATTCTCCAAAGATGTAATACAAAAATACTTGAAGAAAGTCAAGCCGCTTTATGTTCGGGTTTCAAGAAGGTACGGCGAGAAGCTGAAGTTTTCAGGGCAGTTGAGCTTGGGTTCTTTGAAACCCGCTACGCCACCTTCTACGGCTGCTCAGAAACCGGTTTCGGGGAAGGAAACGACGGCAGAAAAAGGACAAGCCGAGGCGGAGGTTGGGAAGAACACCAAGCAGGTGAGCATTCCTGCAGGACTTAGGGTGGTTTGTAAGCATTTGGGAAAGAGCCGATCGGCCTCCTCCGCCGTGGCGGCTGTTCCCCCTGCGCCTGCTGTGTCTAAGAGGAGAGACGAATCTCTGTTGCAGCAACAAGATGGAATCCAAGGCGCCATCCTCCATTGCAAGAGATCTTTTAATGGCTGTCAAGGTATTTCGTTTAAACATCATCGCTTAAAGATGACATTGTTTTTTCAAATTGTAAATGAATTTTAATCTTTTTTTTTCATTGTTCTGCTACAGATTCTTCGGAGTCTTCCATTCTGCCAAGATCTGTAAGTGATCCATCCCATGAGAAGTCAATCAATTTGTCGAGAAACTCGTTACCAGATGAAGCTAAAGCATGAAAAACAAAAATCTCCACCATTAATGAATCAATGAAGCATTGATTATTATCTCTGTAAATATTTTTGTTTTACTGTTCACTAGGTCTACTACCCCTACTGTACGTAAAGGCACCTCTTTCTGTAAAGCGAAAGAAGAGAATCAGATCTTTGTATTGCTAAAAAAAACCAAGTATGATGATTATGAAGGCTCCATCATTATCAGCAAAAATTTCTTCGAAGTTTAACATTTTGGGGTTCGGTTTTTGATAACGTGGGCACTTATTAAATTTGCATCTGGTATGATGGGTCCCAGGGTCAAGACTAAATGGTGTCTTTTGTGGTCAGAGAAGTGGGAAAGTGGAGACCAAAACAGTAAAAAAATGAGAGATTTTGCTTTTCTTTTTCTCATAGGAAGGCGATGACCATAAAGGAAAGGGATGACCATAAAAGGTGTTGGAACTCGAGAGGTCATGGATGTTGCTGATGCCGATGCAGTACCACTTTTTATTTTTCGCTGTGTTGTTTGTTTAGAATAGCCAATGAGATACTATTTGTCTCCTTGCGGCAGCGCTTGGGGCCTACAAATGCGATGCTGAGTGCGGAGCCTTCGGTGCCTCCCCTTGCTGCCACTCCGCTATTGCTGTGTTTTTATGGCCAAAGTAATTGGATATGGATTCTTACCAAAAATTTCATCCGTTCTTTTGAAAAATGTTTGATTTTGGAAAATGATGAGTTATAATTATTGTAGGTGACACTTTCTTTATGATTTGAACGAAGAATCATAATCGATAATTCTTGTGAACCGAAGAATAAAATGTAGTACGGTGTGTAAAGAGAGACCGAGAAAGAGTTTATGATTCTTTTTCTAGACATGTATTGTAGTTTATATATTGATGTATAGCGTTGCAACATACCTATATTCATAATGATTATTCGTATACTAACAAGGCTTGTAGATATCACTAATGGTATCATATTTGATTATGTCATATCATGTAAATCAACTAATGGTCATGTCAAAGAACCGTAATATGAATCTAAAAACATGTTGAACTTAACAGACTTTGATATGGGAAACCACTTACAACGAAAACACAGTTTACAAAAAGAAATGTAGAGGGTAAAACAAATCTAAGCCTTACACATGTATATAAAATGATTTCACCTCTAGACGAAGATAATTTTTCTTGAATAATAAGATTTGAACTATAAACTTTATTCGAAATGTATACAATTTCTTTTATTTTACCTTTCAAGTGAAGCTTTCGGGTTTAGTGTCCGATACGTGCATGCTGGAACCACAGCAAGGACTTTGCAACGGCATTGCTCTGTTGGGAACAATACTTTGACTGGTAGTTGTAGTTGTATTCCAGAACGTAAATGGGCCTTTCTAATCAGACTAAACGCTGAACCTTTTGAACTCCAGCACGCTGTGGAACCTTTTGTTTTTAATCTGTCTCTTTTCCTTTTCAGATATCAGATGTTGGCAACCCTTTTTAGGCATATAATCGCACCAAATTAGCCTCCAATGTCGGGGAAAAGAAGCTATTTATTTCAATGCACGTTCCAGTGATCCTTTGAGTTTTTTATCTTACTAGTATCCTAAGCTTACAAGCCCTGGTAGTCGGCCTGATGGCCCAAACGTCTTCCTTCGAGTTTTTCCATATTGACAAACAGGGTAAATTACAAATTTCATCACTCAACTTTCTTGTTACTCTTATTTTGGTCACTGCAATTCAATTTACCCGTCAAGCTTTCGATTTGTTTCTATATTGGCTACTCATGTGTTAAATCATAAATAAAAGTATGACATGACAGTCACATGTGCTGATGTGGATTATTTTTTTATTGACATAGAATTCATGTATCATCCATGTTATTTTTCTTTTTTATTTTATCTTCTTTCTCTAAAGATAAAAGTTCTAGAGTTTAGCGTTTCTTTCAAATTTCTAAGGTAGAGAGGCAGAGAAGGAGAAAGTGAGTTGTATAGTTTGATTCCATGATGTGGCTGGATGGTGAATATTATAGAGTAAAGAGGTTTAGGGTTAAGGTTTATGAGTTTTTTAAAGTTATTTACGTAAAATCTAAACTATTAGAGTGGTAGGAGATAATGAGACAAGTTAATAGTGGTTATCGGGTACGTAGATTTTGTGGGTACCAGTAATTCGAGTAATCGAGTACTCGATTTTTTTATCATTTACAAATTATTAATTTTAAAAAATATATACACAAATTTAAATGTTCAAATTACATACTCTAACATCTAAATATAAATTTAATAGTGGTTTTTAAGTTTTTTTTTAATTTTATTAATTTAATATATAAAATTATTAATAATTAAATATGTAATATTATTATATATAAAAAATAAATGTAATCGGGTACTCGAGTACCTAGGTACCCGAAAAATTTAATTTTGTAACTCGTGTCCGAACCGAGAAATATCAGGCCGAATAAAGGACCCGGAATTTGAATATTTTAAAAAAATACTCAAACTTTTTGATCAGATCGGTTGGTCGGATCATCCGGGTATGATATTTTTAAACACCCCTACTAAATATAACAATATACCCAATGATTTTCATTTAAAAAAGTACATAACAAAACCAATAGGGAACAGACTATTAGGCTATAATGTAACCGTAACAGGGGACAGTCAGGGATACCCTAAAAGAGCGTGCAATAGAGAGATGGATGGGTTAATAAGAAGGCTGACTGTGGTTCATGAACGAATGGGCAATTCATTCATCTTTGGTTTTAGGGTACCATAAACGGTATCTTTGAAACATTAAAAGGTCACCCATCATTTGAAAATTGGGACTGTTTCAGGAGCACCCATCAAGACCCGGCGTGCATGCGTTGGAAGACATGTTTCTGCCTCCCTCACCCATAACTCTTAATATTTTTAGTTCTTAGAGTGTAGCATAAACTCACGCGATTCATGCAACTACTTTAAAAAGTTGTAAACGGAGAGAGTCTGCGTGCAAGCACTTGAAAATGACGTGATAGAGAAACTAAGTTCTCAAACATGTCGTCATCAACCTCATGAAGAAAGACAAGCTCTTTCCTCATATGTATGTATAGGGGGTGAAAGACTTTATTTTTAAGGGTCAAAATAGAGGCATTTTCTTTTAAATCTAAGCTCTTTTATTCTTTACGTAAATAACATTTAAATAAAATTATTAAGAAAATATCATACATTTTAAAAAGATGTGTTACTTCAATCATGCTTGTTAGTAGGCAGTTTGATAGAGCATGTCTTTGCTTACGTGACAAAGAATTCGATCGGATGGAATTTTCGATATTTTATACTGGTCACGACTAAAATGAAAGGAAAAAAACACTAAGTTTTAAAAAAAAATCGAAAAAGAAGAAACATGCTTTATATGGATCAATGCAGTGGTAGATCTAGAAATATTTTTCAATGTGGACACATATATTAATCACATATTTTTTTACAGGATTAGCACAATTAAATTTTCAGGATGGACACAACTAATAAAATATATAATTATTTGAAAATAAATTCGAATTTCATGGGAGACACATGCCCAAATCCTTAAACTTGTTTCATTCAATAAGTTCATGCTTAAAAGACTATATTTTAAAAACTTGATAAAACTAATGTGAGATTTAAAAATCTCACTGTTAAACTTATTGATTTTGAACTATAAAACGTGCTCACCCTGAATCCTTAAACTTATTTCATTCAATAAGTTCATGTTTAAAAGACTATTTTAAAACATGAAAAAACTAATGTGAGATTTAAAAATCTCACTGTTAAACTTAATGATTTTGAACTATAAAAAGACAAATTCAAAATATGATTAGACTCATTGTAACACCCAAAAATTTCAACAAGTGAATAAAAGGTAAATTTTGAAAGTTGGTGGCTAAAGTATAAAATTAGAAAAGTTCATAGAATTAAAGTGTAATTTTGAAAACAAAATTATATATTTTGGTCCCATAAATGAATAGTTTACCTTAAAAGAAGGATTTTTGTATCTGTTAGATTTTCAATCCGAAATTTGTAGGAAAAGCTATTAATCGGTAAAGTTCAGTAAAATAATTGGATATCCAGGTCGAACAAAAAATTTACAAAAATTGAAGGATGGTATTATGAGGTTAGAAATGATGTTTTAGTATTTTTAATGTGAAGAATTGAAATGGATCAGTCAAATTAAAAGAATTTACCTTGTTTTAGTGAAACAGTAGAATTTAGTGACTAAATTGGATTTTTGGAAAATTGAAAGGGTAAAGAAGGAAATTGATAAGTGGAATTTTTATTTTTGTTTAAGATTATTAAATTGGAGATAGGAGGGTGGCATGGAAGTAAATACTTGGATTCATTAATGGCATTTTTGACATTTTGACCAAAATGAATTTTTAATTAATTTAAAAGGCCCAAATTAGAGATATTTGCATGGAAATTTCAAGAAATCTACTCTTCTTCTCTGGAAGCTTCCCAAGACCTCCATAGCTAAGGTGAGCCAAGTTTTCTTTTCCATTTTTGGTCCATTTTGTTGAGTTTTAGGACTAGGTTGTGAAATAATAAAAATTACCTATACTAAATTCTCTACAAATTAGTAAGTATTATTTTATTTCGAAATGTGAAAATGAGTTTTTATGGTGGATGAAGGGGAAGTGAGAAATCAATGAAATAAGATTGGATTTTGATGTTGGGAGTGTTAAGGAATTATATACAAGCTTAAAAGTTGATTAAAAACAGTTAGAGGAACTTGTTTGATTTTTTGGCCACTTTGGTGTTCATGAGGAAATGCTGATTTTTTATTTGTGTTGATATAGAAATGATTAGAAATTAATGAAAATGAGTTGTAGGTGATGAAATCAAGCTTGAGTCAAATTTGGAGACCATTGGAGAAAAATCCCAAAACTTTCGGCCTAGTAAAGAAAAAATAGGACAAATTTCATAAAAATTTTCTTTAAGATTTATATTGGATATAAGGATGATTTCATATGGTTGGAATTGAATTTTGGACCAAATTGGAACCTTGTGAAGTTTTAAGGATCTTTTTGCATTCTTTAAGAAATTATAGGATTAAAAATGCAAATGTGGGAAAATTAATGTACTATGCTGAAAATTAAAATTTGAATGATGAAATGTTCTATTGGGTTGATTTGGAAAGTTGAATAATTTTTAAGGATCAATTTGCAAGTTTTGGGAGAACTAGTGGTGAAATTACAAAAGTGCAATGTTAATGCATTAATTTGAGAGTATTGTGAAAAGTTAAGTGACTTAAGGTTGAGAATTATTATTTTCAAGTACTAGGGAGGTTATTTGGCAGAGTTGAGTAGAACTGATTAAGTTATAGAATTATCATCAAATATTTATTTACATTATTTTATCAGATTGTATATGTATACGTGTTTAACAAGTTAATTAGATACTGACATATATTCGAAATTGTTCATGTCGGATAATTAATTTTCAAGTGGATCGTGACTGGAATCAAGACCAAAACAAGTAAAAAAAAAAAAGGAACGGAGTTCAAGAGTGAATTGATAGAAACAGT